TGATCTCAAAATAAAATGTGAGGGACCTATGAAGCTGCTATGTGATAATAAGTCCGCTATTTGTATAGCTCATAATCCAGTTCAACATGATCAGACTAAACATATTGAGGTCGACCGCCATTTCATCAAAGAGAAACTTGATAGTGGGTTGATTACCACTCCATACATTCCCACTGGGCGTCAATTAGCTGATCTATTAACAAAGGGGCTTCCTTCAGACAGATTTCAAGAACTTACTAGCAAGCTGGGAATGATAAATATCTATTCCTCAGCTTTAGGGGGAGTGTTGTAAATAATAATTATTTAGTTATTATTTAGTCATTTATTTGTTGTATTGGGCCAAGCCCATTAGGTCAAAATTACGTCAAGTATTCTCTATAAATAGAGAACCCTTTGTACAAATTATATACAATTCAATAATATTTCAAATACCCTTTTCTTTCAAGTTTAACAGTGACTTTCCCTTGTTGGTTACTCTCTCTCCTTGCCTTAGTTACCACCATCCACAGACCGAAATTAGAAGTTGTCTCCTCTACCGAATTGCTCACATGGTCTGATGGACATACATTCTCTGTAGGATTACTCCCCTTATTCGCACTATTTTGACTAAGGGCTTGAGGGATGTTTGGGCATACATCTCTTCTATGGCCGTATTTTCCACACCCATAACAAATCATATGAATTCACCTGTTTGTAATGACCATCAATGTAGTAATCCACTTTTAAAGGCTGGTTAATGTCCAATTTGACACGAATTCTAGCATATTTTCCCCTCGCCAAATTTGTGGTAGCCGCATCCAGTTTAACAAATCTCCTGAGCCAGTCACCCACATTCCTTATCAGTGACGTGTGTGATTTACTCCATGGGAAACCCAGGGAGTCTAACCCACACTGTGACCTCAAAATCTGGTTTGCAAGCCCTAATTGCTAGGTAGTGATAAAAAAATTATCCATGGCCCCACCAACTTGGCAAAATCCACATCCTTCAGTTTTTCAAATCTCACGATATAGTAGTGGTTCTCAATACCTGTAACAAGGATTTTCCCTTCTCTACCCCACATATTCTCAAGCCTTTTCTTCATAAAGTTGATCGACAATCTCTTCCCTAGCAGCTTAACCATAAGGGTGTGTTTCCATGGTTTCCAGGCTTTCCTCTTTAAATTCATATGATGAGTTTTAAATTTATCCTTCCATCTTCACGAGTTTCCAGAACCACTTCTTGCGTTGTAAGTGATTTTTCCTCATCGCATCGCACCACGCCTCTCTTTCTTTTTCCATTTCATCAATCTTCTCATGATCTAGGTCCTCCTTCAAATCTCATTCCCTATTGTGCCTTATCAAGATTTCCTTGAAACTCCTTTGACCATCCATCCAATCCTCTTGTCGTGACCAGGTTTTGCTCATTGGAAAACGAGTATTCTCCGCTCTAGTATTTCTTTGTGCTTCTCTGGAGGTTATCTACGTCCTCTTTAAGGGGCGTTTAGTTGAGGAGAAAATTTTTGAATAGTAAGAAAATGTAATTGATAGGAAAATGGTTGGAAAGTGAGTTTGGTAGGAAAATGTAAAAAAAGTTGTTTGGTTAAAAAAAAATTTACTAGGAAAATTAGATAAATTTTATAAAGTCTATGTTTAGTTTGAGGTGAAATATAGATGAAGAAATAAGTTGTAATTACAAAAATATCCCTGCTTTTAAAAAACATTTCAATCACCAAGAAGCATGATAAAGCTGTCAGTGATATTGAGAACAACACCATCCTAGCGGGGCATTTCTGTCTCACCATTGTGCACATTTTTTTCAGTTGCCTTGTTATCCTCAAATACCACCTCCAATTTGGTTTTTTCAAACAGTAACTTTTGCATCACTTTACACATAAATCTGAATGGATGGGGAAGATGGTTGCCTAGCATTTTTTTTCTTAAACTTCTACCAAACATAGAGTAATTAAATACCCACTCTCATTTACCCATAAATCTCACAACAAACCTCCTACCAAACACCCTCTTAGAGGCCAACTCTGGTGCAATAGGCACTTGCATGACACATAATCTAAAACCCTAACAAAGAGGCTTTAAAACTACGGGGTGTATTGGATTCGGATTTCAAAGGATTTTAATGGATTGTTTTCGGACAAAAAAATCCGTTGGTATTCGATTAAGATTTTAATGGATTGAAAAAAAGTCATGTGGTATTCGATTAGGATTTTAAAGGATTATTTTAGAATCCGTCCAAATCCGTTGGTATTCAATCAAGATTTTAAACAATGGAATCACAATCTCGTGGTATTAAAAAATCTGACGATTTTAATGGATTTTCTATTGGTGTGGATTTCATGAGACTTTTTAGTGAAAAATATAAACAGGATGTCTCTCTCACAATCTCACTCTAACCCCTGTGATTTCTTGAGATTCTTCTATTGCAATATTTTCTTCTTCCTTTGACAGGTTGACTGCTCAAAATTGGGTTCCGCCATGAGAGCTTCATCAAAACTAAAAAAAGAAAAACATATTTTTGAGCGATTTTCGTTACAAAACAACCCAGAAACAAAAAATCAATGAGATTTTAATATAATCTATCTCAAAAATAACATATTTTTGAGTTTTTTGAGAAATTTTGAAAGTTTAAAAAGTTATTTTTCAAGCTATGGGTCGCGGTTTTTCTTGGAACAAAAACGTGTGATTTTTGTATTAAAAACAACATAAAACAATGAAAAAATAAAATGAAGAAGATAATTTTCAACCCATTAGACATGTGAAAAGCTGTTGTTTAGTAATTTTGATTGTTTGTTAAAAATTATATTATGTTTTACTGATTGAGAAAATTATATTAGATTTTACTTTTTTTTATTAATTTCATTGCATTTTTTTGTTATTTTTTTATGGGAAATATTATACTTACAACCTATTTTTGTTTACAACATTTTACAACTATATCTTAACCGTTCATTTTCGTCAATCGATGGTTATTATTTTCGCAAATCAAACTCATTAATTAATATTTAATTTGGAAGTTAACCGTTGATATATGGTTATTATTTTCGCAAATCAAACTCAAACTCATTGAGAAAATTATATTAGATTTTATTGATATGTGGAGAGTTGTTGCTTAGTAATTTTTTAGATAATTTTCAACCCGTTGTTAAGTTTACTTTTTTTATTAATATCATTGCATTTCTTTGTTATTTGTTTTTATTGACTCTTGTAATTTTGAATATTCGTTAAAAATTCATATAGTTTTTTAAAATCTTATAAATTCATATTGTCCTTTCAAATCTTATGAATTCTATTAAAATCCTTTAAAATTCATCCTATGAAATCTTGATTGTAAAAAAAGTCTTTTAAAAAAGTCTATAAAGTCGCTCCAATTCTAAAATGTCTTTTAAAATCCGTAGAATTTTTTATCTCAAAAAAGTCTTTTAAAATCCTAATCCAATTTACCCCCTAATAATTCATTGTTGCCCTCTGCTATCGCTCTTTAATGTTACTATTTTAAGGGCAACTAAAATGTTGTATTTTAATTTATATTAAAAAAATTATCTGAGTTTCAAAATACTTATATGATATATGAAATCCTTACTGATAATAAAAATGCCATGATTTTAATAATATTTTAGATAAAGATATTTGGAAGAATATTTTATGAATTACTTGAAATCATTTTTTTTAAATATTTCATGTAATAATCAAGGGTAAACGATTTCTTCAGTCAATGGAGATAAGTTATCTCCAGTGAACCCAAAACGACGTTGTTTTGAGGCGGAAATCAAGGTGTTTTTGTAATTTTAATATATTGCAGGGTTATATTAGTCTTTATCATTATAATATTTTAATCTTATAATCTCAAAACGGCGTCGTTTTGAGCTCACTGGAGATAACTTTATCTCTAGTGACTGGAGAAATACTTTTCCTAATAATCAAAGGGTTTAGTGTTTGTCATTTTAAATAACACAACTTTGTATCATTTTTAATGAAACTACGTCATTTTGGTGTATTTTATCATCTTCTCTAATTTATAAAATTAGAAATAAAAAAAATAGAGGAGAGAGAATGTAAAAACTTACCAAAAAAACGTAGTTTCATTAAAAATGATATAACTTTGTGTCATTTAAAATGAAAAATATTTTTCCCATAATTAATATAAGAGTTCGTTTTTTCTACAGTCAATGTAGATAACTTATCTACATTGAGTTCAAAATGATGTCGTTTTGAGGCGGAAATCAAGGTAGTTTTGTAATTATAATTTATTTCAGTGTTATAATAGTCTTTTTCATTATAATTTGTTAATTTTTTAACCCCAAAAAGACGTCGTTTTGGGAGCGAATGTAGATAATTTATCTACATTCAATGTAGAAACATTAAAGCCTTAATATAATTAGGGATAAGTTATTCTTCCTACCATTTTTTCTGCCTACCTTTGCCTACCATTCTCTAACACCGTTAGATCAGAATCTCAAAAAGAGAGAGAAAAATAAAAATTACTTTAGATTTTGATCTAATGGTATTTTAGAGTAGTAGGCAAATATAGAAAAAAAAAGAGGTAGATGGAATAACGTATCCCATAATTAAATCTACTAAATGAGGTATTAATATTGTGAAAAAAAGAAACATTAAATTAAAAATAAACTCAAAATAAATAAGAATATTAACGAATAAATACTGAAAACTTTTTAAAAATTCAAGTCCTGATGATTATATTATCTCTAACCTTTGGTCCTTCGTTTAAAGGTTTTTTGGGCCTAAAGTATAAGCCCATAATTAGCGTACAATGGACGCGGTTTTTTGTTTTTGTTATTTTTATTTTTTTTTCAGAAAACACGAACGGTCGAAAGAGAGAGCGGGCCCACTGCAAGATTCGTAAAAGATATGCACTAGGGGAAAAAAAAAATTGAAAAGCAAACCCTAGTTAAGCTTAGCGCAGAACATAAAACAGATAGAGAGAGAAGACTATGAGAGAGAAAACGACATAAATATATATATATATATATATATATATATATATATATATATATATATATATAAATCATAATCCTATTCTTCTTCTTCCGCCCTAACAAGTAACACCCTTCTCCCTGTCCTCTCACGATCTGAGTCGGTAGAGTTGAGTGAGTGAGTTGGAGAACTCGAACGAGTTGAGACATGTCGGACGAGGAACACCATTTTGAGTCCAAGGCTGATGCCGGAGCCTCCAAGACCTATCCTCAGCAAGCTGGCACCATTCGTAAAAACGGTTACATCGTCATCAAGGCTCGCCCCTGCAAGGTCTCTTCTTCTTTTTTGTTTACTCTTGATTTCAATCGAATCAAATCATTAATCTATTCTGCTTTGTTGTTTTTTTGGAGGAATTTGTGTTGTTTTTTTCGGTGTTTGATTGTTTGTTTTATTTGATGATGCTGGATTAATTTGATTTAGATTTTTTTTATTTTATTCTTTAGGGTTTAGTAATTGATTTTGGTCCCGATTATGTATGTGTTGGATAATTTGGCTTCTGAGATCTCTATGTGTTGTTGATTTAGATGATTAGGTTTTAGTCTCCAAGCAGTTCTCACTGTAAAAAGAAAAAGAAAAAGAAAAATTTGTTATCTGTTGAAATCTCAAATTCCATATGGTGTTCCTTTTTAGGCTTTTATTTGTGCTTCCTGTATTGTATTTTTAGGATGCATGCTTTGAGTTTTTCTTTTTATCATGTGGTTACTTGTTTTTCTTAGATTTCTAATTTGTGCATTTAAGCAATTAACCAATCGATGTTAATTGACTTTTGCTTGCGTATTTAATTGTTTTGTGAGGTCTTGTTGTGGTTTTTTTTTTCTTTTTTTTTTTAATGTGTTGGGCTGTTTTCTCTTTTTGGCACTTTTTATGATACTGATTTATGGTTATCAATGGGTTCTCTTTATGATAGGTTGTTTTTTATGATACTGATTTATGGTTATCAATGGGTTCTCTTTATTATAGGTTGTTGAAGTTTCAACTTCCAAGACTGGTAAGCATGGTCATGCTAAGTGCCACTTTGTTGGAATTGATATTTTCACTGGCAAGAAGCTTGAAGATATTGTGCCCTCTTCCCACAACTGTGATGTATGCACTTTTTATTATGTTTCATCTTTCTTCAGTTCTGTGATTTCTTTCTTTGATGACACTTAACTGGAACTTTTGCTGTGTTGTTGTAATCTTTTTTTTTTAATTATTATCATTATTCCAGGTTCCCCATGTGAATCGTATTGACTACCAGTTGATTGATATTTCTGAGGATGGATTTGTGAGTTTGTTTGTCTTGACAATTCCTTTGATTCACCCATTAATCTTATTTTGCTTCTATTATCTGAATCTCTACTTGAATGATGTGTTATAGGTGAGCCTGCTTACTGATAATGGTGGCACCAAGGATGACCTGAGGCTTCCAACTGATGATAGTCTGCTTACTCAGGTTTGTAGGAATCTACTGTTTTTTTGTCTGTTGGATTCACAACCTGCAAACTTTTCTCCGTCTGTAGTTTTTCTAGACTAAAATGCTTTCAATTCCTCTTTTCTATTCATATGTTTGTTGATTGTATTGTTTTTATTCCTCTAACTGTGTATATGTCATTTATTGATCATTGCAGATAAAGGATGGATTTGCTGATGGCAAGGACCTTGTTGTGTCTGTCATGTCTGCCATGGGTGAGGAGCAGATTTGTGCCCTGAAGGATATAGGGCCAAAGAACTAGCCTCAATTGCTGGCAATTTGTTGTTTTTCATTTAAGCAAAAAAGATATTTTTGTATGGTTTTATTCAACCCCTGGGTTATGGACTCCAGTCAGACTAGTCTTACCAACGGGGTTTATGGATGTGACACAAACTATTAAACATTTTTCTGTTTCGATGTTATCCTGAGATTTTCTTATAAAATACGAGTCTATTATTAGAAATTGTCTTTGTTTTGACGTATTATGCATTTATGCTGGGGATATTCTCGTTCCTGTTTCACTTGCAACAAATTTCAACTTTGTACAATTTTTGGAATAAAAATAGCTACAAATGTTCGTTTTGGAGCATTTGTAATCTTTTAAATTAAAAAAATGTTTTAAACTCTTTGAAGTATGTCAACTGTATTAAAAATTGTAGTTTTATTCAGAATTATTGTAATTTACACATTTGGGAGTTATCCTGGGCAAAGCATGTGAGAATTTGGATAAGCATGGAAAGTTTTTTTATTTTATTTTTTCAGCCACTCTTTTTATCTTTTCGTAAAAGTACTAACTTATATTTTTACTCTTTTTTAGGAAAAAGTCATCTACTTATTTGATAAACTTGTTGATGCATGCTTGATTAAAATTCCACTAATCTGATTATAAGAGCAACTTTGTCATAAGTCATAATATCTGTGATTTAAATTTCATAGTTTGTACTTGGTAGTTTATGGTGATAGTTTATAGGAGAAATGTTTGTCATGGACTTAATTTTATATCATTTTATATGAAATGATTGAGTTTTGATATTTATTTATTGGTTTTTTTTTATATTTTCTCTACTGTGAAGGAAAAATAATATAAATTATTTTTACAAATATGTATCAAAAGGTTGTAGTTTATAGGAGAAATGTTTGTCATGGACTTAATTTTATATCATTTTATATGAAATGATTGAGCTTTGATATTTATTTATTGGTTTTTTTTATATTTTCTCTACTGTGAAGGAAAAATAATATAATTTTTTTTTTACAAATATGTATCAAAAGGTTGTAGTTTTATTTAAAATAATATAAATTTATATCTGACAAAAACATTTTTCTTCATTCTGTAATATGTTATACGAAAATTATTTTCTCATATTATAAGAGAATAATTATTTTGTGTAGTAGAGACAATAGCAAAGAGGGATTCATAAGCAAAGAGAGAGAAAAAAAAAGTTGAATTTTTTTTCCATTTCTCCACGTTTGGTTGAGGATAACGTGAATTTTATCCATCAAATCTCGTTGTCCAGCTATTCACAGATGCGTGTAAAAATGGAACAAAGTCACTGTTGAAGAAACCCTCTCCCACCATGGTATTTTTGTGAAATCTGGATAAATGGAAAAAGGGGATAAAAAAGGAGACAAGTTTATCCTTTATTGTCTCTGACGGCGAATCAACTTCTTCCATTGCTGACATATTTGGTGTCGACGAACAAAGCATTTTGGATGCAAACGAGATTTCTTCTACTTCTGTTATTTTCTTCTTCACACCCATTTTGATCCTCTCAAACACGAGCCACCGACCAAGATACAAACAACGGTGTCTCCAACGGAATCTTCGCCGCCGCCGCCAACAACAACAACTCCGGCAGGGAATGGAGGTTCAGGCTCTTCCACGAAATGGGTTGTTGTTGGAGTCACGGTTGGAGTCGCTTTGTCGCTTCTTGTGATTCTCCTTGTGTTTTTCCTATTTTTCTATTTTATTGCCGTTGGAAGGTTGTAAACTTGTAATAAAACCAAGGTGTTTTTATAAGGTTATTTTTGTAATTTCATTAAGTTTTCTCATCAATATTTTATCTTCAACCAAATACATTCAGAAATTTCATTCAATTTTTCTAGTAAAATTTTGTCCAACCAAACAACTTTTTTAAAACTCTCCTATCTAACTCATTTTCCCTGCAGATCCTTAGTATTTACATTTCTCTAGTATTAAAAAATTTCACCTCAACCAAAGAGTAACACCCCCTCATGCAAATCCATATTGGTGTTCAGCTTTTTGTAATTGGACGTGCACGGCCCTTACCAGGAACAGATGACATTTCTACTTTCTTAGCCATCGATCTAGCATTGATTTCCCCCACTTTTTACGTTGCTCGAAGTAGTTTATTACAGAGGAAATGTGCCCCTATTTTTGATTGATTCCTCACTTGAAATCACCTGTTTTTTCATTTTTGTCTTAATAACGAAGAGGCACAAAGCCCACAAAAAACCAAATAGGCCCACATAGGACAAAGGGCTTCAACTAGCAAAGCTCTACTGATTCTTGCGTATATTTTGCTGCGTTTTATGTTTGGTTATATAGCCTAACCATAGGAAAATCCTTCATAATAGATTGCTTTTGTTAGATAGTAAGTGAAGGATGTGGCCTTTTTTCTCAAACGACTCTTTAAGCCCTTCCAAGTTGCCTAGATCGGGCAACAAAGAAGAGTAGTAACTATTACAAAAAAAAAAAAAAAAAAAGAGTAGTAACTTGATAAAAAAAATTGGGGCTATGGTTAAAAGTTAGGCACATATATGTGTTTTAAAAAAAAAATGCGTGTCGGTACCGACACTCGTCCAAAATGTGATCAACGTCTTGTAACATGTTGACTATCTTGACACGCAATTTTGATCTTGTCCGACACGTTCAAGTGGCGGAAATATAAAATTTTCAAATTTTTTATAAAATTAAAATAATTTTGAAATAAAACATAAAAGTTAAAAAAAAAAAAAAAAAACAAACATGAACGCAGCGCACACCACGCACCAGTTTCGATTTTGAACCCTAAATCAGTCACCACAACTGTTCTCCTTTAATCTCTTATCAAGCATTCCTTCACCGTTGCTGTCGTTGTTCCAAGTAGTGCTTTGATCTTCTTTGTCACGTCATTCTTCTTCTTCCTAGCGTCGCTCTCGACCTCCCTTCCTCCGGCGCCTAGGTATGCATGTTTTTAGTTATTCTTTGTGTTGCTCTTTCATTTCTTACTTGCAGTTGCGAATTGCAAGTTTTAAACCACAACCTTGCTTAGTTTGAGCTTGTTTTGAATACCCACGTTTTGATCTGCAACCTTGCATGGTTTGATGAGCTTATCAGCTCGGTTTCCTTACTTTGTTTGAACCCAACCGCAAGTACCATCGGTCCAAATTTTATTTTATTTTATCTTTTATTTGATTCACAAGGAGATGAATCAAATGTGGGACATTGCTGGAGACACATTTGATTCATCTCGAAGTTACTAGTCTTTCACCTGATGAGTTAGAGATAGAGGCCAAGATTCTTCAAGATGGAAATGAAAATAATTGAACTCTTGAGTAGTCTACATTTTACACTCTATGGATGTTCTATTATTTTTGCTTTATATTTATGTTATGGAATTTGAATATTTGATTAGTTATATTGTAACGTCTGGCCGCTTCAAAAATCAACGACTATCCCCACATACTAACACAAGACTTTTCAGCGTGCTTTTTTCTCACTCGCACACTTCCAGGGAAAACTTCCCAGGAGGTCACCCATACCAGAATTGCTCCAAGTCAAGCACGCTTAACTGTGGAGTTCTTCCGATCCGGGCTACTGAAAAATAGATGCATCTTGTTAGTATATGTAGTACCAATTAATTCTTATAAGCAATCTCAAGTGCAGCCTTATACCTGCACAGCCTTTGAAATCTCTCTCTTTCGGGTGTCGATTCGATTTATTCATGCATGTAACCCTCTACGGGAAGCCTGTCAGGAGCCGCTCCTTGTCCGTGTCTCTTTGCATCGACGATCACTCCCCGCTCTCGTCAGCGCTCGGGATGTTACATATATGACTTATTATGAGTTGTTATATCTATTAAATGTAAATTATATTATATATTAAAAATATTATTTAATATCAAAACGTATCCTAACGTGTTAAAATTTAATATTTTTTAAATTAACGTATCAGAGAATTGTATCATGTCCCGCACTAGTGTCTGTGCAACGTAGACAGGCACACACTGAATTTGGTATCCAAAACATGCTTGTTCGGTCCAAGGGCAAAGAAGAGCATGCTAAAATGTGTCAACTTCGTGCTGACAAGAAGGTCAAGTGGGGGTTTAGTTAATTCTTCTCCCAGATAGATTACGTCCCAAATTAAATTTTAGAGCTCTATTAGAGGGGTGGCTAAAGAGAACGAAAATTGTAATATGGGTCTATAATTGTTGGAAGTATTCAAGTATGAGTTGTAATGAAGTACCACATTGGCTAGACCTAGACCAAGTGATGACTATATAAGTGCAAAAAAACCCATAAACCTACAGCCTTAAGGTTTTGGGTTAAAATGTGGTGTCGGCCCACTTATTGTGGTTTATCGCTTGGCCCATGGAAGTATCTCTTGCAATGGGTTTTGGGCTCCCCGTACCATTCCCAACAGTGGTATCAGAGCCAAAGGTTTGGCTGGGCTGGGTATTTAGAGATGGTGATGTTTCAAGGCCTCCGCAGAAGGCTAGTGTGACTCCAATACTTAAAGAACAAAGACTTCCGCAGAAGTTGCCCTTAAGGGGGAGCATGATGTTGGGTCTCATACTTGAGGGGAAGATGTTGGAAGTATTCAAGTATGAGTTGTAATGAAGTACCACATTGGCTAGACCTAGACCAAGTGATGACTATATAAGTGCAAAAAGACCCATAAACCTACAGCCTTAAGGTTTTGGGTTAAAATGTGGTGTCGGCCCACTTATTGTGGTTTATCGCTTGGCCCATGGAAGTATCCCTTGCAATGGGTTTTGGGCTCCCCGTACCATTCCCAACAATGGTATCAGAGCCAAAGGTTTGGCTGGGCTGGGTATTTAGAGATGGTGATGTTTCAAGGCCTCCGCAGAAGGCTAGTGTGACTCCAATACTTAAAGAACAAAGACTTCTGCAGAAGTTGCCCTTAAGGGGGAGCATGATGTTGGGTCTCATACTTGAGGGGAAGATGTTGGAAGTATTCAAGTATGAGTTGTAATGAAGTACCACATTGGCTAGACCTAGACCAAGTGATGACTATATAAGTGCAAAAAGACCCATAAACCTACAGCCTTAAGATTTTGGGTTAAAATGTGGTGTCGGCCCACTTATTGTGGTTTATCGCTTGGCCCATGGAAGTATCCCTTGCAATGGGTTTTGGGCTCCCCGTACCATTCCTAACAATAATAAGTGTATGGCATGACATCTCCATTTAAAGAGAAGAGATGAAAATACCCCCGGCGAAACTAATCTTGACC